TGGGGCCCGGGCCGGGGCAGGAGGAGAGGCTTCGGGGGCCGGGGTCGGTGCCGGTCCCGTCCGCCGGGCAGGAAGATCGGCGAGGGCAGGCGGGGGGCCCGCAGGGCGGTCCCGGGCCTGCGGCAGCCGGGGGCTGGAGCAGGGACCTGCCCGCACGGGGAGCTCGCCGGCCGGTCGGGCTCCCTCCTCCGCGGTGGTGCTGTAGCTCTTGTTGTCGAGTAAAGTTAAAAAAGGAAACGGAAACATGGTTTCTTTCTTTCTTTCTTTTGTTTTTGTTTCATTACAGGAGGTTTTGGCACCCGCGGGTCGGCCCGTGCCCTTGCCCCGATAAGGTCGGCCTGGGGCCGGAGCAGCCCTTTCCCGTTCCCCTTCCTCCTCTTCCCCTTCCCCTTCCCCTTCTCCTTCCTTTTCCCCTTCCCCTTCCCTTCTTCCTGCCCTCCCCTCTGACGGGGCCCTGCACCTGTGTCGGGGTTTGCGTCACCTATCAAAAATTTCTTTCATAAGCTGCATTGGAGCAGCCTGTGGACTCCTGGGACAAAAAGGACTATTTTTAGGTAGAGCATAGCAAATGTAATCAGTTGATTGGGTGATGCACATAAATATTGTCCGTGAATAGACAGGCAGCTGCAGTTGCTGTGCGAGGACTTGCTCAGGGCACATCCTGGTTGACATTAATTCCCTTCCCACAGCGGCCTCCGTTCTGGCGCTGGTGGCCGGCGGTCAGTCGGTGCGGCTGCCGTGGCACAGGCGGGAAGTCGTGGGTTCGTGGGGAATCGAGCAGTTACAGGGTTTGCCTTCGATCAGAGGAAAGCTTGCGTTGCCTGGTCACTCGACTCATCTGCTCACACCTGGGAGGTAGTAAAGGATGGCATCTCCATTACACCCACGCAGGGCTAATGACTGGGTCATTAATCATAGAATCAGTCATTTCCCTCCTGCCTCTTCCCTCCTCCTCCTCCTCATCCCTCCAGCCTTTATTTCTGACCTCTCCCTCCGTCAGGCTCTTCTGGTAGCCAGAGGCAGGGGGTTAGCCACTGGACCGTGGCTCTGCTCTGCCCTCGTGTTTCTTGGTGTCGAGCTGGTGCAAGGGCCGTCGGTAACGCGGGTCCCAGTTCCAGCCCGGCTTTGGCTCGGCCATCATGAGACTGCTTTAAAGATGGCAGAGAGACCAGTTTTACCGTGTCCCCGTGGGGCTGCACAGCAGATCAGGAAATGTCTGGGCTTGGGGCTTCTGTGGGAGCAGGTAGAAGCCCACCCTGGGCAGGCAGGTCCCGGGGAACCATGTCCTTCACACACCAGCAGTGCCGTGGCTCCGGTGCTGCCGGCAGCACTGCAGGTCCCAGCGGCATCCAGGCAGTATCCCAGGGTGGTCTGGCAGATTTTGTGAGGGCACTCACACCTGAAAGTGAATAGTGTGAGGAAAAAATAATGGTAGGAATATGGAAATAAGCTTTTAATGCATCCTGGGGAGAAAACAAAGGACTCTCTGGATTTGGTTAGAGGTGATAACGATGAGCCGATGATGTTACCCAGCACGTTGGGAGTACGGGGACCCTGTGCCATGATGAGCGGATGGGGAGGCTGTTCAGCCTGAGACCCCAGTCACCCTGACCCCCTGGCAGGGTGGCATGTCCCAAGGGGCCGCTCCACACTGGTAGCCAGCCATCCAGCCAGCAGGGCTTGGTAAATCTCAGACATCCCATAGAAAATGGGTCTGTGGTTGCATTGGAGCAGGGAGAGAGCCAGCTGCCGATATGGGTCTTATGCAGCAGCCCGTGGGGGGCAGCAGCAGCGATTTGGGGGGTCATGGAAACGTCCTTGCGGGGCCAGAGTGGCTCGGAGGCAGGGGGGCGAGTACTGAGATGCTGCCAGGGGTCGGATGAGCAGGGCAGGGCTTTGGTGGCTCTTCCTGCGGGACAGTGCAAGCAGCAGGGTGGCAGTGGGGACCACGCAGGGCACTGCACAGTTAGTTCCTTTGATAAAGCGAGCTCACTGGTGATGCCTGCACCGTCCCCTTTTATAGAGGTTTATCAGTGGTCTCTCTAAAAGCTCTCTTGGGTTTTTTTTCTTAATACCACAGGTTTGCAAGTCTGTAAATATCTCATCTGAAGCTGAGGTTATCGCAGAGTCTGCCTGTCCGACCTGTGGGCAGAGGGGATGGTCTGCCTCCGGATTCTCCCTGCCATACCTTCGGGATCAGCCCGAGGGCAGGGGGGCTCCTGTGGCCAGGCGGGGGTCACGCGTGCCACTGAGCCACAATCACCGCGGTGCGGCATTCTGGCCACTTCTGGCAGCTGGGTGTCAGGGCACTGAGAATCCGCAGGGTTCTGTGTTTAATTGAGTTAATCGTCTGGGAGCAGCGGTCAGAGCATCAGCAGGGAGAGGGGGGTTTGCAGAGGGAGGCTGCCGGGGGGGGGCAGAGGCAGGCAGGTAGCTGGCAGCGTGGGGCACTCTTGACATCACGAGGGGAGGAAAGGGGTCACAAACCATCCCGTTCAGGAGATCATCGTGCGTTGGCGCTCAGGGATGTTATGCATTTGGGTAGCCGGACTCGTCTTTCCGAGGCGTGGGGCTCCCCGAAGGATGAGTCCCCGGGGGTCCCGGCGGAGGGGCTGTGGGGTGACAGCGACAGAGCGAGCGGTGGCAGGATCCCCGGCCCGAGAGCCATCCTCCCGCGGTGCCACGAGAGGGCAGCAGGTCCTCACGGACCGCGGCGGCCACAACTGCCCCACAGCCACGCCGTGGCAGGGCCCCACGCCGCCCCTCCAGCTGCTCGCGAAGGGGGGAGCTCAGCAGATGTGTCCCACGGGCGTGCGCCTGCGGTTGCTTGCAAGCCCCAGCGTGCATGCTGCTGGGGTCTGCGCTCGCATGCCGCGTCCCTCCCGGCCAGGCAGTAGTCATGCCTTCGCCCTGGCTTCCCACGCAGAATGCCACGCCGCGGGATGGCTGCGTTCCCCAAAAGACAGGTAGCGGTTCCTAGGTGAGCCCTACCTTGCCCCAGCCCACGTGTGAGCCCCGGGGACGTGGGCGTTGCTGGCTGCTTGGTGGTTTGGCACAGCCGGCCCGAGCCGCCGCTGGTGCGGCATTTGCTGGGCAGCAGCAGGGGCTGGCAGCGCGCTTCTTGCACACATGAACGTGTGTGACAGAGGGGCACGGCTGGCTCCTGCGGACATTGCGCCTACACCTTCCTCGCAGCCCAAGCAGCGTTTGCCCATCACTAACAGTGGGC